TTTTTTTTTTCTTTTTTTTCTTTAATGAGAAAGAGAATGACGGACAACGTTACGGTTTAAGTTTTATGTTAGGGTCGCTTTTTTGAGAGATAAGAAACAATGACAGTTCGTTTTATTTGATGAGAATGTGATAGATAGTATTGCAGTAATTCTACAAATGAATTTGCAATTGAATTGATCGCAATGGACGTGTTTTACAAAGTAAAAGTAGAAAAAATAATAAATTGGCGTACAAAACACATCTCTAAAATATATATATATATTCGTAAAATAAATTTATTATAACGCGATGATATTGTACATGAGCAAAAGAAAATAGAAAATTCTAAACAAATGTAAAAAAAAAAAAATCTACGAACTATATATATATATAATCATCGGTTAATCATTTCTCAATCTTCTGCAATCGTTTGTCACCTTCTTACCAAATTTTCTCGTAGCGACAGAATTTCATTGTTTCGAAGGCAAAATTCTCAGAAGGAGCGGCTACCGCTGGTACTCGTTCAACTGAAACGATATTTAGCCTGACGATTATTGAATGTAGAGGGACAGCGTTGAAGAGTAAGGTGAAGTTTTAACACGCGAACAGCTCTGTAGCAAAGTGGCAAAGTTCAGTGGGTTCACCAGAAGGGGATGGGGGAGTCCTGGCTCACGCAGATGCTTTAATTGGAGCGGGAAAGTTTGCAAGTTGGAACAGTCGCGTGACAAAGTTTAAGAGATACACTCGGTTTGAGTTCGCGAGAATGGAAGACGGTGTAGTTCACGAGGTGTTCAGAGACGACGGAAGAAGTCGCTCGAGTGCTTGTCTCGATAAAAACTATGGGAATATTCGTTGCACGAAGTTGCATCGGAGTTGTAGCTTTAACTGGATCGTTTCCGACGGAGAGTGGTTGTTTCAAAATGGAAAGTCTCCGCGCTTCCTTTCGTGTCACTTTGAAATTCTTCCTAACGTGGATGTTCCCATCGGTTAAAAAAACAATCGTCGGAGGAATATGGAAATGAAAAAGTGA